TAATGACATTAACTCTTCCTTTCCAAGTGTTGTTAGTTCTTTATTGCAGGAATATGTTGATGTGTTCCCAGAGGAGATTCCACCTGGATTACCACCCATTAGAGGAATTGAGCATCAAATGGATTTCATTCAGGAGCAACAATTCCTAATAGGCCAGCCTATAGAAGCAATCCAGAAGAGACAAAGGAACTTCAAAGGCAAGTGGAAGAGCTCATGGCAAGGGATATGTTAGAGAAGCTTGAGTCCTTGTGCTGTTCCGGTACTTTTGGTCCCAAAGAAGATGGAACTTGGAGGATGTGCATTGATTGCAAGCTGTGAATAACATCACTATAAAGTATCGCCATCCCATTCCTAGATTAGATGATATGCTTGATGAATTGCATGGTTCTATTGTCTTTTCTAAGATTGATTTGAAATCTGGATACCATCAAATTAGAATGAGGGAAGGGGATGAATGGAAAACTGCTTTCAAAACAAAACATGGTTTGTATGAATGGTTAGTTATGCCATTTGGGTAACTAATGCACCTAGTACTTTCATGAGATTAATGAATCATGTTTGCGTGCTTTCATTGGGAAATTTGTTGTGGTTTATTTTGATGACATTCTGATTTACAGCAAGAATCTTGATGAGCATTTGAATCATTTGCATTGTGTGCTTGATGTTTTGAGAAAGGAAAAATTGTTTGCAAATATGAAGAAGTGTGATTTTTGTATGGATAAAATTGTTTTTCTTGGCTTGTGGTGAGTGCTAAAGGAATAGAAGTGATGAAGAAAGATAAGAGCTATTAAAGAATGGCCAACACCTAAAAGCATAACTGAGGTGAGAAGCTTTCATGGTTTGGCTAGTTTTTATAGGCGCTTTGTCAAAGATTTTAGCACACTTGCTGCACCACTCACTGAAGTTATTAAAAAGTCTGTTGGTTTTAAATGGGATAAAGAACAAGATGTTGCATTCATTAGGCTTAAGGATAAATGTGTTCTGCACCTGTATTAGTATTGCCTAACTTTAACAAAACTTTTGAGATTGAATGTGATGCATCTGGAGTTGGAATAGGAGCTGTTTTGATGCAGGAAGGAAAGCCAATTGCTTATTTTAGTGAAAAGTTGAATGGAGCAGCCTTGAAGTATCCAACATATGACAAGGAGCTCTATGCACTTAAAAGAGCATTAGAGAATTGGCAACACTACCTTTGGCCTAAACAATTTGTAATTCATACTGATCATCAATCTTTGAAGCACATTAAGGGTCAAGGTAAGCTGAACAAGAGACATGCAAGGTGGCTGGAATTTATTGAGACATTTCCGTATGTCATCAGATACAAGAAAGGTAAAGAAAAATGTGGTGGCTGATGCATTGTCAAGAAGGTATACTCTTCTTACTACTCTAAATGCTAGGTGCTTGGTTTTGAATATATCAAGGAATTGTATGCCATTGATGCTGATTTTGCTGAAGTGTTTCTTGCTTGTGAAAAGAAAGCATTTGAAAAGTTTTATAGGATTGATGGGTACTTGTTTAAAGAAAACAGATTGTGTGTGCCTCATGTTTCTTTGCGAGAATTACTTGTGAGAGAAGCACATGGGGGAGGATTAATGGGTCACTTTGGTGTGAAAAGACTTTGGATGTTTTGCATGAACATTTCTTTTGGCCTAAAATGAAACGTGATGTGGAAAGAATCTGTGCTAAATGCATAACTTGTAAAAAGGCTAAATCTAGAGTCTTGCCACATGGTTTGTACACCCCATTACCTGTGCTAGTGAACCTTGGGTAGATATATCAATGGATTTTATTTTGGGTTTACCTAGGTCAAGAAAGGGTATGGATTCCATATTTGTGGTTGTCGATAGATTTTCTAAAATGGCACATTTCATTGCTTGCCATAAAACTGATGATGCCACATACATTGCTGATTTGTTCTTTAAGGAAATTGTAAGACTTCATGGTGTTCCTAAAAGTATTGTTTCTGATAGGGATACAAAATTCTTGAGTCATTTTTGGAGGATTTTGTGGGGTAAGCTGGGTACTAAATTATTGTTTTCTACTGCTTGTCATCCACAAACTGATGGACAACTGAGGTAGTTAATAGAACTTTAACTCAATTGCTTAGAACTGTGATTCAAAGAACTTGAAGAATTGGGAAAATTGCTTGTCATTCATTGAATTTGCTTACAATAGGAGTGTGCACTCATCTACTGATTATTCTCCTTTGAAATAGTGTATGGTTTAATCCACTAACTCCCTTGGATTTATTACCATTGCCTATTGATGAGAGGGCCAGTCTTGATGGGACAAAAAAAGCTGAAACAGTGAAACAACTTCATCAAAAAGTGAAACAACAAATTGAAAGAAAAATGAGCAATATGCATCCAGGCTAACAAAGGAAGAAGGCGTGTTCTCTTTGAACCTGGTGATTGGGTGTGGGTGCATATGAGGAAAGAAGATTTCCAGCTCAAGAAAGTCCAAATTAGCTCAAGAGGAGATGGTCCATTTCAAGTGCTTGAAAGAATCAATGACAATGCTTACAAAATTGATTTACTTGGTAGTATAATGTTAGTGCTACTTTCAATGTGGCTGATTTATCTCCTTTTGATGCAGGTGATGATTCGAGGTCGAATCCTTTTGAGGAGAGGGGGAATGATGCGATACAGCAAGCTAACTCCTCAACTTCCAATGATCCATTGCAAATCCCAACTGGACCAATCACAAGAGCAAGAGCTAAAAGAATTAAGGAGCTTTGAGTGGGCTAGTGCAAGACACCTTGACAAAGCAAATGGCATTTATTGGAGTATCAAAATCTGGATAAAAATGCTGAGGATGTCACTAATGTCATTTGGGCTGAAAATGGAGCTACTGATCATATCTTGGGCTTGGAGACTTCAATTTAGGAGCTTGGATCAAGTACAAACACATGAGAAGACTCATTTGGGCCTAAATTAATCATATTTTGGGCTTGATAGCTGATTATATTTCATTAAATGCATTTGTGCGAAAATTCATCAAGTAGTTGGCATTTATTTGACTTTTGAATTTCCAAGTTACCTAAATCAAGTCCTTATGAATTTATTATGTTTTGATTTTCTAGATTGCATTTAATGCTTTTTAGGTCAGATCTTGAATGTATCCTCTATAAGATATTGTAACCCTCATTTTGGGAGGAGATTTGGAATTTTGAATGAAAACTTGCATTTTGCAATTTCTGATTGAGAGGAGTTCTCTCTAGGGTTCTTCATTGAACTAACAGACTTATCAAGGCTTGATCAATCTTGTGGCGTCTTTCAACACTTCGGGTCCTTGTTCTTCCGTGTTCAAGGGTTCAAGTAGATCACCAGACCTTTGTTTACGTTCTTGGGGTGCGTATATTCAGATCGGTTGTGGGTTCGTGGGATTTTTCCCTTGTGGGTTCTCACCATCTTGGTATCAGAGCTTTGGATCTAAACTCAGGTCATATTTTTCTGTTAGTTTACCTTCATTTTCGTTCTTCATTTGGTGCCTTTTCTTGTGTCTGTTCGTCTTCTGCGTTTCTGTTCATCACCGAAATTGTCATCCTTGTCCATTCACTTTTCCGTTGAGTTTTGTGAAGTTTAATAGGTCATTTTCATAGTTCGGAATCCCTTCTTTCGTCTCGTTTTGGTTTCATCTAAATCCGACTTTTGTAGGGCAAGTTATACCCATTTGAAAAGGACGCGTTTTCTGGAATTTCTGGGTTCAGATTGCTTGTTCTGTTTTGTTTATGGTATTTTTGTGATTTTCCTTGCATTATTCAGTGAAAAAAAAAAAGAAAAGAAAAGGGAAAAGAAAAGACAAGAAAAAAAAAAGAAAAAAAAAAAGGTACCCAAAAAGAAAGGGACAGAAAAAAAAAACGAAAAGAAATTATAGTGCTGGCAGTGTTTTGAGCAAATCATCTTCATATCCAAATTCTATTTTGGCTTTTGCAATACTTGTGTCAATTGAGTTTCTGACTTTTCTTGAAGGTCCATATTCAATACTCTTAATTTCTCAAAGTTCCTAAGTGTTGGCTGATTCTGCATATTGTGATTGCTTTGTTTAAATTGTTTAGTTCTTTAAAGAGCCTCAAGAGGGATTTCAGAGTGGAAAAAGGCAAGAGTGATATACCTCAATTTAAAAGCCAAGTTTGAGTGAAACACGAGTGTTGAGTGTCATTCTTGAGGGAAACACGTGAGGAAATTTGTGAGGAACTTTACTTCACTAACATAATTAATTTTCCTTGAAGTCACAATGTCTAATGCAGATGGGACATCTGGTGGTAGTGGAAATCCAATGAATATTGAAGACACCCTTAGGGCAATGCAGCAACATTTTCAACGGATGAATGTGGTTTATGGAGAGATAAGGGATAGAATGGATAGACAAGATGAAAGGATTGTAAATCTGCAAAGAGCCCAACCTAAACCTAGAAGGCATGGAAGGCAAAGGGAGGTTTCTATGGATGACTTTGAATCTGAAAATAACAAAGTTGGTGGTAGTGAGGATGAAGTCAATTCTGAATCTGAAGTTGAACTGATAAGGAATAGGCATAGAGGGGATAGGTATGGGAGAAGATATGGGAGAAATAACCCAAGGGAGAGAGATAGAGTAGATGGGAACCTTGGGAGCATCAAAATGAAGATACCATCATTCCAAGGTAGAAATGATCCTGAAGCCTACTTAGAGTGGGAAAAGAAAATAGAAATGATCTTTGAGTGTCATAATTATTCTGAAGCTAAAAAGGTGAAGTTGGCAGCAATAGAATTCACTGATTATGCCATTGTTTGGTGGGATAAATTGGGTATTAATAGGAGGAATAATGGAGAGAGGCCTGTAACAACTTGGAGCGAAATGAAAGCTCTAATGAAGAAGAGATTTGTTCCCAACCATTATTTTAGAGAGCTTTATCAAAAGTTGCAGACCCTTACACAAGGTCCTAGGAGTGTAGAGGAGTACAATAAGGAGATGGAATTGGCCATGATAAGAGCTAATGTGCAAGAAGATAGAGAAGCAACAATGGCCCGATTTCTAAGTGGGTTGAACAAAGATATAGCTGATATAGTTGAATTGCATCATTATGTAGAACTAGAAGACATGGTGCATATGGCTATTAAGGTGGAAAAGCAACTCAAGCGAAAAGGTGCTTCAAAATTTCATTCTGGATCAACTTCTTCTTTCAAACAGAATTGGAAAAAAGGAGAAAAAGCTATCCAAAAGGAGACCACTAGAGGCAAAGAAGAAGCTTCATCAAAGAGCAAAGGTAAATCTGATTCCCAAACTTCTAGAAATAGGGATATAAAATGTTTCAAGTGTTTGGGTACAGGTCATATTGCTTCTCAATGCCCCAACAAGAGAGTTATGATTCTGAAAAATAATGAAGTTGTGACTGAAAGTGAGAGTGAAAGTGATGACTCCATGCCCCTACTTGAAGATGCTAGTGATGATGGGATTGAGTATGCTGTGGAAGGAGAATGCCTTGTGGTTAGAAGAGCCTTGAATTGTCAAGTGAAGGAAGATGAGTTGAATGAGCAAAGGGAAAATATTTTCCATACTCGCTGCCTCATTAATAACAAGGTATGTAGTTTGATAATTGATGGTGGGAGTGTTACAAATGTTGCAAGCACTACAATGGTTGAGAAATTACATTTGCCCACTGTTAGACACCCTAGACCATACAAGCTGCAATGGCTGAATGAATGTGGGGAGATTAAAGTTGATAAGCAAGTTCTTGTTTCTTTTTCAATTGGGAAGTATTGTGATGAAGTATTATGTGATGTTGTTCCTATGCATGCTGGACATATACTTTTGGGAAGACCTTGGGAATTTGATAGAAAGGTAAAGAAAGATGGGCTTACAAATAGATATTCTTTTGTAATGAACAACAGACCCATTACTCTTGTACCATTGACCCCAAAGCAAGTGTATGAGGATCAACTTAAGATGAAAAAAGAGAGAGAAAAAAGAGAGTGATATGAAAAATGTGAGAGAGACATCAAAAAGAAATGGGAGTGAAAAGGAGAGAAAAGATGAGAGTTCAAAAAAAGAATTTCAGAAAAAAAATGAAGAGAGAAAAGAGAAAAAGAAATTGAGTTTTTATGCAAAAGAAAGTGAAGTGAGGAATGCCTTTTTGGCTGAACAACATTTGCTTCTCCTTGTTTACAAGGAATCCTTTTTGGATACTAATGACATTAACTCTTCCTTTCCAAGTGTTGTTAGTTCTTTATTGCAGGAATATGTTGATGTGTTCCCAGAGGAGATTCCACCTGGATTACCACCCATTAGAGGAATTGAGCATCAAATTGATTTCATTCCAGGAGCAACAATTCCTAATAGGCCAGCCTATAGAAGCAATCCAGAAGAGACAAAGGAACTTCAAAGGCAAGTGGAAGAGCTCATGGCAAGGGGATATGTTAGAGAAAGCTTGAGTCCTTGTGCTGTTCCGGTACTTTTGGTCCCAAAGAAAGATGGAACTTGGAGGATGTGCATTGATTGCAGAGCTGTGAATAACATCACTATAAAGTATCGCCATCCCATTCCTAGATTAGATGATATGCTTGATGAATTGCATGGTTCTATTGTCTTTTCTAAGATTGATTTGAAATCTGGATACCATCAAATTAGAATGAGGGAAGGGGATGAATGGAAAACTGCTTTCAAAACAAAACATGGTTTGTATGAATGGTTAGTTATGCCATTTGGGTTAACTAATGCACCTAGTACTTTCATGAGATTAATGAATCATGTTTTGCGTGCTTTCATTGGGAAATTTGTTGTGGTTTATTTTGATGACATTCTGATTTACAGCAAGAATCTTGATGAGCATTTGAATCATTTGCATTGTGTGCTTGATGTTTTGAGAAAGGAAAAATTGTTTGCAAATATGAAGAAGTGTGATTTTTGTATGGATAAAATTGTTTTTCTTGGCTTTGTGGTGAGTGCTAAAGGAATAGAAGTTGATGAAGAAAAGATAAGAGCTATTAAAGAATGGCCAACACCTAAAAGCATAACTGAGGTGAGAAGCTTTCATGGTTTGGCTAGTTTTTATAGGCGCTTTGTCAAAGATTTTAGCACACTTGCTGCACCACTCACTGAAGTTATTAAAAAGTCTGTTGGTTTTAAATGGGATAAAGAACAAGATGTTGCATTCATTAGGCTTAAGGATAAATTGTGTTCTGCACCTGTATTAGTATTGCCTAACTTTAACAAAACTTTTGAGATTGAATGTGATGCATCTGGAGTTGGAATAGGAGCTGTTTTGATGCAGGAAGGAAAGCCAATTGCTTATTTTAGTGAAAAGTTGAATGGAGCAGCCTTGAAGTATCCAACATATGACAAGGAGCTCTATGCACTTAAAAGAGCATTAGAGAATTGGCAACACTACCTTTGGCCTAAACAATTTGTAATTCATACTGATCATCAATCTTTGAAGCACATTAAGGGTCAAGGTAAGCTGAACAAGAGACATGCAAGGTGGCTGGAATTTATTGAGACATTTCCGTATGTCATCAGATACAAGAAAGGTAAAGAAAATGTGGTGGCTGATGCATTGTCAAGAAGGTATACTCTTCTTACTACTCTAAATGCTAGGTTGCTTGGTTTTGAATATATCAAGGAATTGTATGCCATTGATGCTGATTTTGCTGAAGTGTTTCTTGCTTGTGAAAAGAAAGCATTTGAAAAGTTTTATAGGATTGATGGGTACTTGTTTAAAGAAAACAGATTGTGTGTGCCTCAATGTTCTTTGCGAGAATTACTTGTGAGAGAAGCACATGGGGGAGGATTAATGGGTCACTTTGGTGTGAAAAAGACTTTGGATGTTTTGCATGAACATTTCTTTTGGCCTAAAATGAAACGTGATGTGGAAAGAATCTGTGCTAAATGCATAACTTGTAAAAAGGCTAAATCTAGAGTCTTGCCACATGGTTTGTACACCCCATTACCTGTGCCTAGTGAACCTTGGGTAGATATATCAATGGATTTTATTTTGGGTTTACCTAGGTCAAGAAAGGGTATGGATTCCATATTTGTGGTTGTCGATAGATTTTCTAAAATGGCACATTTCATTGCTTGCCATAAAACTGATGATGCCACATACATTGCTGATTTGTTCTTTAAGGAAATTGTAAGACTTCATGGTGTTCCTAAAAGTATTGTTTCTGATAGGGATACAAAATTCTTGAGTCATTTTTGGAGGATTTTGTGGGGTAAGCTGGGTACTAAATTATTGTTTTCTACTGCTTGTCATCCACAAACTGATGGACAAACTGAGGTAGTTAATAGAACTTTAACTCAATTGCTTAGAACTGTGATTCAAAAGAACTTGAAGAATTGGGAAAATTGCTTGTCATTCATTGAATTTGCTTACAATAGGAGTGTGCACTCATCTACTGATTATTCTCCTTTTGAAATAGTGTATGGTTTTAATCCACTAACTCCCTTGGATTTATTACCATTGCCTATTGATGAGAGGGCCAGTCTTGATGGGACAAAAAAAGCTGAAACAGTGAAACAACTTCATCAAAAAGTGAAACAACAAATTGAAAAGAAAAATGAGCAATATGCATCCAAGGCTAACAAAGGAAGAAGGCGTGTTCTCTTTGAACCTGGTGATTGGGTGTGGGTGCATATGAGGAAAGAAAGATTTCCAGCTCAAAGAAAGTCCAAATTAGCTCCAAGAGGAGATGGTCCATTTCAAGTGCTTGAAAGAATCAATGACAATGCTTACAAAATTGATTTACTTGGTAAGTATAATGTTAGTGCTACTTTCAATGTGGCTGATTTATCTCCTTTTGATGCAGGTGATGATTCGAGGTCGAATCCTTTTGAGGAGAGGGGGAATGATGCGATACAGCAAGCTAACTCCTCAACTTCCAATGATCCATTGCAAATCCCAACTGGACCAATCACAAGAGCAAGAGCTAAAAGAATTAAGGAAGCTTTGAGTGGGCTAGTGCAAGACACCTTGACAAAGCAAATGGCATTTATTGGAGTATCAAATCTGGATAAAAATGCTGAGGATGTCACTAATGTCATTTGGGCTGAAAATGGAGCTACTGATCATATCTTGGGCTTGGAGACTTCAATTTAAGGAGCTTGGATCAAGTACAACACATGAGAAGACTCATTTGGGCCTAATTAATCATATTTTGGGCTTGATATGCTGATTATATTTCATTAAATGCATTTGTGCGAAAATTCATAATTAGTTGGCAGATTTGACTTTTGAATTTCCAAGTTACCTAAATCAAGTCCTTATGAATTTATTATGTTTTGATTTTCTAGATTGCATTTAATGCTTTTTAGGTCAGATCTTGAATGTATCCTCTATAAGATATTGTAACCCTCATTTTGGGAGGAGATTTGGAATTTTGAATGAAAACTTGCATTTTGCAATTTCTGATTGAGAGGAGTTCTCTCTAGGGTTCTTCATTGAACTAACAGACTTATCAAGGCTTGATCAATCTTGTGGCGTCTTTCAACACTTCGGGTCCTTGTTCTTCCGTGTTCAAGGGTTCAAGTAGATCACCAGACCTTTGTTTACGTTCTTGGGGTGCGTATATTCAGATCGGTTGTGGGTTCGTGGGATTTTTCCCTTGTGGGTTCTCACCATCTTGGTATCAGAGCTTTGGATCTAAACTCAGGTCATATTTTTCTGTTAGTTTACCTTCATTTTCGTTCTTCATTTGGTGCCTTTTCTTGTGTCTGTTCGTCTTCTGCGTTTCTGTTCATCACCGAAATTGTCATCCTTGTCCATTCACTTTTCCGTTGAGTTTTGTGAAGTTTAATAGGTCATTTTCATAGTTCGGAATCCCTTCTTTCGTCTCGTTTTGGTTTCATCTAAATCCGACTTTTGTAGGGCAAGTTATACCCATTTGAAAAGGACGCGTTTTCTGGAATTTCTGGGTTCAGATTGCTTGTTCTGTTTTGTTTATGGTATTTTTGTGATTTTCCTTGCATTATTCAGTGAAAAAAAAAAGAAAAGAAAAGGGAAAAGACAAGAAAAAAAAAGAAAAAAAAAAGGTACCCAAAAAGAAAGGGACAGAAAAAAAAAACGAAAAGAAATTATAGTGCTGGCAGTGTTTTGAGCAAATCATCTTCATATCCAAATTCTATTTTGGCTTTTGCAATACTTGTGTCAATTGAGTTTCTGACTTTTCTTGAAGGTCCATATTCAATACTCTTAATTTCTCAAAGTTCCTAAGTGTTGGCTGATTCTGCATATTGTGATTGCTTTGTTTAAATTGTTTAGTTCTTTAAAGAGCCTCAAGAGGGATTTCAGAGTGGAAAAAGGCAAGAGTGATATACCTCAATTTAAAAGCCAAGTTTGAGTGAAACACGAGTGTTGAGTGTCATTCTTGAGGGAAACACGTGAGGAAATTTGTGAGGAACTTTACTTCACTAACATAATTAATTTTCCTTGAAGTCACAATGTCTAATGCAGATGGGACATCTGGTGGTAGTGGAAATCCAATGAATATTGAAGACACCCTTAGGGCAATGCAGCAACATTTTCAACGGATGAATGTGGTTTATGGAGAGATAAGGGATAGAATGGATAGACAAGATGAAAGGATTGTAAATCTGCAAAGAGCCCAACCTAAACCTAGAAGGCATGGAAGGCAAAGGGAGGTTTCTATGGATGACTTTGAATCTGAAAATAACAAAGTTGGTGGTAGTGAGGATGAAGTCAATTCTGAATCTGAAGTTGAACTGATAAGGAATAGGCATAGAGGGGATAGGTATGGGAGAAGATATGGGAGAAATAACCCAAGGGAGAGAGATAGAGTAGATGGGAACCTTGGGAGCATCAAAATGAAGATACCATCATTCCAAGGTAGAAATGATCCTGAAGCCTACTTAGAGTGGGAAAAGAAAATAGAAATGATCTTTGAGTGTCATAATTATTCTGAAGCTAAAAAGGTGAAGTTGGCAGCAATAGAATTCACTGATTATGCCATTGTTTGGTGGGATAAATTGGGTATTAATAGGAGGAATAATGGAGAGAGGCCTGTAACAACTTGGAGCGAAATGAAAGCTCTAATGAAGAAGAGATTTGTTCCCAACCATTATTTTAGAGAGCTTTATCAAAAGTTGCAGACCCTTACACAAGGTCCTAGGAGTGTAGAGGAGTACAATAAGGAGATGGAATTGGCCATGATAAGAGCTAATGTGCAAGAAGATAGAGAAGCAACAATGGCCCGATTTCTAAGTGGGTTGAACAAAGATATAGCTGATATAGTTGAATTGCATCATTATGTAGAACTAGAAGACATGGTGCATATGGCTATTAAGGTGGAAAAGCAACTCAAGCGAAAAGGTGCTTCAAAATTTCATTCTGGATCAACTTCTTCTTTCAAACAGAATTGGAAGAAAGGAGAAAAAGCTATCCAAAAGGAGACCACTAGAGGCAAAGAAGAAGCTTCATCAAAGAGCAAAGGTAAATCTGATTCCCAAACTTCTAGAAATAGGGATATAAAATGTTTCAAGTGTTTGGGTACAGGTCATATTGCTTCTCAATGCCCCAACAAGAGAGTTATGATTCTGAAAAATAATGAAGTTGTGACTGAAAGTGAGAGTGAAAGTGATGACTCCATGCCCCTACTTGAAGATGCTAGTGATGATGGGATTGAGTATGCTGTGGAAGGAGAATGCCTTGTGGTTAGAAGAGCCTTGAATTGTCAAGTGAAGGAAGATGAGTTGAATGAGCAAAGGGAAAATATTTTCCATACTCGCTGCCTCATTAATAACAAGGTATGTAGTTTGATAATTGATGGTGGGAGTGTTACAAATGTTGCAAGCACTACAATGGTTGAGAAATTACATTTGCCCACTGTTAGACACCCTAGACCATACAAGCTGCAATGGCTGAATGAATGTGGGGAGATTAAAGTTGATAAGCAAGTTCTTGTTTCTTTTTCAATTGGGAAGTATTGTGATGAAGTATTATGTGATGTTGTTCCTATGCATGCTGGACATATACTTTTGGGAAGACCTTGGGAATTTGATAGAAAGGTAAAGAAAGATGGGCTTACAAATAGATATTCTTTTGTAATGAACAACAGACCCATTACTCTTGTACCATTGACCCCAAAGCAAGTGTATGAGGATCAACTTAAGATGAAAAAAGAGAGAGATAAAAAAGAGAGTGATATGAAAAATGTGAGAGAGACATCAAAAAGAAATGGGAGTGAAAAGGAGAGAAAAGATGAGAGTTCAAAAAAAGAATTTCAGAAAAAAAATGAAGAGAGAAAGAGAAAAAGAAATTGAGTTTTTATGCAAAAGAAAGTGAAGTGAGGAATGCCTTTTTGGCTGAACAACATTTGCTTCTCCTTGTTTACAAGGAATCCTTTTTGGATACTAATGACATTAACTCTTCCTTTCCAAGTGTTGTTAGTTCTTTATTGCAGGAATATGTTGATGTGTTCCCAGAGGAGATTCCACCTGGATTACCACCCATTAGAGGAATTGAGCATCAAATTGATTTCATTCCAGGAGCAACAATTCCTAATAGGCCAGCCTATAGAAGCAATCCAGAAGAGACAAAGGAACTTCAAAGGCAAGTGGAAGAGCTCATGGCAAGGGGATATGTTAGAGAAAGCTTGAGTCCTTGTGCTGTTCCGGTACTTTTGGTCCCAAAGAAAGATGGAACTTGGAGGATGTGCATTGATTGCAGAGCTGTGAATAACATCACTATAAAGTATCGCCATCCCATTCCTAGATTAGATGATATGCTTGATGAATTGCATGGTTCTATTGTCTTTTCTAAGATTGATTTGAAATCTGGATACCATCAAATTAGAATGAGGGAAGGGGATGAATGGAAAACTGCTTTCAAAACAAAACATGGTTTGTATGAATGGTTAGTTATGCCATTTGGGTTAACTAATGCACCTAGTACTTTCATGAGATTAATGAATCATGTTTTGCGTGCTTTCATTGGGAAATTTGTTGTGGTTTATTTTGATGACATTCTGATTTACAGCAAGAATCTTGATGAGCATTTGAATCATTTGCATTGTGTGCTTGATGTTTTGAGAAAGGAAAAATTGTTTGCAAATATGAAGAAGTGTGATTTTTGTATGGATAAAATTGTTTTTCTTGGCTTTGTGGTGAGTGCTAAAGGAATAGAAGTTGATGAAGAAAAGATAAGAGCTATTAAAGAATGGCCAACACCTAAAAGCATAACTGAGGTGAGAAGCTTTCATGGTTTGGCTAGTTTTTATAGGCGCTTTGTCAAAGATTTTAGCACACTTGCTGCACCACTCACTGAAGTTATTAAAAAGTCTGTTGGTTTTAAATGGGATAAAGAACAAGATGTTGCATTCATTAGGCTTAAGGATAAATTGTGTTCTGCACCTGTATTAGTATTGCCTAACTTTAACAAAACTTTTGAGATTGAATGTGATGCATCTGGAGTTGGAATAGGAGCTGTTTTGATGCAGGAAGGAAAGCCAATTGCTTATTTTAGTGAAAAGTTGAATGGAGCAGCCTTGAAGTATCCAACATATGACAAGGAGCTCTATGCACTTAAAAGAGCATTAGAGAATTGGCAACACTACCTTTGGCCTAAACAATTTGTAATTCATACTGATCATCAATCTTTGAAGCACATTAAGGGTCAAGGTAAGCTGAACAAGAGACATGCAAGGTGGCTGGAATTTATTGAGACATTTCCGTATGTCATCAGATACAAGAAAGGTAAAGAAAATGTGGTGGCTGATGCATTGTCAAGAAGGTATACTCTTCTTACTACTCTAAATGCTAGGTTGCTTGGTTTTGAATATATCAAGGAATTGTATGCCATTGATGCTGATTTTGCTGAAGTGTTTCTTGCTTGTGAAAAGAAAGCATTTGAAAAGTTTTATAGGATTGATGGGTACTTGTTTAAAGAAAACAGATTGTGTGTGCCTCAATGTTCTTTGCGAGAATTACTTGTGAGAGAAGCACATGGGGGAGGATTAATGGGTCACTTTGGTGTGAAAAAGACTTTGGATGTTTTGCATGAACATTTCTTTTGGCCTAAAATGAAACGTGATGTGGAAAGAATCTGTGCTAAATGCATAACTTGTAAAAAGGCTAAATCTAGAGTCTTGCCACATGGTTTGTACACCCCATTACCTGTGCCTAGTGAACCTTGGGTAGATATATCAATGGATTTTATTTTGGGTTTACCTAGGTCAAGAAAGGGTATGGATTCCATATTTGTGGTTGTCGATAGATTTTCTAAAATGGCACATTTCATTGCTTGCCATAAAACTGATGATGCCACATACATTGCTGATTTGTTCTTTAAGGAAATTGTAAGACTTCATGGTGTTCCTAAAAGTATTGTTTCTGATAGGGATACAAAATTCTTGAGTCATTTTTGGAGGATTTTGTGGGGTAAGCTGGGTACTAAATTATTGTTTTCTACTGCTTGTCATCCACAAACTGATGGACAAACTGAGGTAGTTAATAGAACTTTAACTCAATTGCTTAGAACTGTGATTCAAAAGAACTTGAAGAATTGGGAAAATTGCTTGTCATTCATTGAATTTGCTTACAATAGGAGTGTGCACTCATCTACTGATTATTCTCCTTTTGAAATAGTGTATGGTTTTAATCCACTAACTCCCTTGGATTTATTACCATTGCCTATTGATGAGAGGGCCAGTCTTGATGGGACAAAAAAAGCTGAAACAGTGAAACAACTTCATCAAAAAGTGAAACAACAAATTGAAAAGAAAAATGAGCAATATGCATCCAAGGCTAACAAAGGAAGAAGGCGTGTTCTCTTTGAACCTGGTGATTGGGTGTGGGTGCATATGAGGAAAGAAAGATTTCCAGCTCAAAGAAAGTCCAAATTAGCTCCAAGAGGAGATGGTCCATTTCAAGTGCTTGAAAGAATCAATGACAATGCTTACAAAATTGATTTACTTGGTAAGTATAATGTTAGTGCTACTTTCAATGTGGCTGATTTATCTCCTTTTGATGCAGGTGATGATTCGAGGTCGAATCCTTTTGAGGAGAGGGGGAATGATGCGATACAGCAAGCTAACTCCTCAACTTCCAATGATCCATTGCAAATCCCAACTGGACCAATCACAAGAGCAAGAGCTAAAAGAATTAAGGAAGCTTTGAGTGGGCTAGTGCAAGACACCTTGACAAAGCAAATGGCATTTATTGGAGTATCAAATCTGGATAAAAATGCTGAGGATGTCACTAATGTCATTTGGGCTGAAAATGGAGCTACTGATCATATCTTGGGCTTGGAGACTTCAATTTAAGGAGCTTGGATCAAGTACAACACATGAGAAGACTCATTTGGGCCTAATTAATCATATTTTGGGCTTGATATGCTGATTATATTTCATTAAATGCATTTGTGCGAAAATTCATAATTAGTTGGCAGATTTGACTTTTGAATTTCCAAGTTACCTAAATCAAGTCCTTATGAATTTATTATGTTTTGATTTTCTAGATTGCATTTAATGCTTTTTAGGTCAGATCTTGAATGTATCCTCTATAAGATATTGTAACCCTCATTTTGGGAGGAGATTTGGAATTTTGAATGAAAACTTGCATTTTGCAATTTCTGATTGAGAGGAGTTCTCTCTAGGGTTCTTCATTGAACTAACAGACTTATCAAGGCTTGATCAATCTTGTGGCGTCTTTCAACACTTCGGGTCCTTGTTCTTCCGTGTTCAAGGGTTCAAGTAGATCACCAGACCTTTGTTTACGTTCTTGGGGTGCGTATATTCAGATCGGTTGTGGGTTCGTGGGATTTTTCCCTTGTGGGTTCTCACCAAACTCTATCATGAAAACTCCCGCCACCTTGAATATCAGGTTGCCTCTTTTCCCTATTGCTTTCTTTTCATTTTTGTGTCTTGCTAGTGATATTTTATGCTTAAATGATTTGAGAATAAGTGTGGGGGAAAGAGGTCATTTCAGTATTTTTTTTTAAAAAAAATGGTGTTTTACTTGTTTTCCTTTCTTTTGTTTCATTGTTTTTACTCTGGACTTTTCATGTGCTCCAGACTGTATTGAGGACAATACTGAATTTAAGTGTGGGGAAGGATAATATCTTGATGATTTTGAAATTCTTGGTTGTAGATTGTGTACTGCTGATATGACTTAGCACTCATGTCTCTTGCTTTGAGTGTCTATGCATAATCCACTTTCTAGATCAGTTGTGCTGCACTAAACCTTTGCTACTCCAAAAATCTCTTTGGTTCTAAGCTTGATTTTCTGAAATCATGTTGATAACTTTCTGACTTGAACATTTAGGAATCTGGGAATTCATTGAAACCTAATTATTATTGGGATGATTCAGCATTTGAGGTTGAGAAATGTTGTATTAAGGTTAGAATTGATTTTATTCAGCTGTTGTATTGGATTTGGGAAGAATAACCCATGTTGGAAGGTCTTGTTTGAGCCTAAATTCTTTTATTAAGAGTGCAATCTCCTTAGTACTAGGACCCTCTAGAACTTGACCTAGCTCTTAATTGAGGCCACATTTTTGCTTTGGGAAATTGCATATGAAAGAGGCATTCTATTCTAAGCCCAGTTTACTCCAAACACAATCCATTGATACTGACTTTTGCTTAACCCCATTGAGCCATTCATGATTCTTTTGATATCATACTGGCCAACTTAAGTAAGATTGTATTGCATTTGGTCATCAAGTTTCATGCTTTTTCATTGTTAGGATATATTTTGTATTACCTTTGTCTAATTCTGTCTTAGGATGCTAGCTGTGAAAATTAAAAAATGGAAGAAAAAAAAGGAGAAGAAAGAAAAAGGCAGTTGAAAAAAAAACGAATTGAAAAAAAGGATATACAAAAAAAAAGAGCCAATAAGCAGCAGAAAAAAAGAAATGAGAAAAAAAAGTTTTTGGAAAAGCCTAAGCAAAGAATTATAAACAAGATTATAGCTAGTATCTCATAACTCCAGTATTCCAATAAGAGCTATACATTAGCATTTGCATTCATGGCTTGCGTTGAAGAGTTCATTTGTGAGTTGTTTGTATTCTTTCTGTCTTGTTTTCAGCATGCATGCATTCTTGCTCAAGTGGCCAGATTCCATCCTTTAGCCTTTCCAACATTACAACCTTAAGGGAAGTCCTCTTGATGCAAAATTACCTCATGCTACTCAGTGGTGGAGATATTAGAGTTTCGTCAAGCTTATGGTAGGGCCTAGGCTAAGAGAGAAGAGTGAAATGACCCTGTAATGGAATGGTGAGGAGAGTGAAACACTTGCCGAGAGAATACTTCCACTTTTCCTTGTGCAATTTGCTGAATTAAGATCATTTCCTAGTCTTTTTATTGACAATTTGATTCCTTATTATGCTGGTTTTTCTCTTGAGTACTGGGTTGAGATGACGAATCATAATTGGATACTATTTCAATTTATAGCTGGTTGTTAATGAGATTTCAGGAACTATTTGATCATATTTGCCCAGGAGTGCAAAGTGCTAGTGTAGGGGAATTTTATGAACCACATTTTGATCAACTAAATAATGTGATTTCCTACTGAATTTAAATACTTTCATGTGGAATTATCTTTAGATTTCCAATATTTGATAAGAAATGATGATGTGAGAATTTGGTGTATCATTGCAGGATTGAAAGGGATTTTCTCTAATTGTGGAAGTATTGGTGAAGAATGGACAAAATCTAGAAAGATGTAGCCAAAAATCTTGAATTAGGAGTTAAAACGCAGTGTTTTGAATCTAGTTAAGAGCTAGAATCATGTGTGATCTAGTGTAGCATTCTATGAGGAAAAACTCTAAGTAAAACGCATAGCTCCATGGCCAGTGAGTTTCAAGAGAGTGACACATGTCTTGGGCTTTAGTAAAATGCACAACTGAAGGTAGGGAAGTTTCACATGTCAAAATACAACATTACAAGCCTTCAAATGGTGGATAATGAGGTGAGAAGACGGAGGGAAAATTAAAAACAAAACTGGACGTCCAGAAGCTTGAGAAAAACAGATCTGATATTGAATTCCAGCATTCTCATTCATTCTCTTCTTTTCTTCACTTCTCCAGATTCTCTTAACTTCCAGATTCATCTTCTTCATCTTCTTCTCTTCTCTTGCATTTTGCCATGGAGATTCAGAGGAGATTTGGCCAGATTTCCTCCATCAACATGAGCAACTAAGCCATTGATTCCTAAGGAGCTGTGATGGATCCAGGGCACTGATTGTCAAGGAGATTTCATTTTTCTTGAGTTTGTATTTGTGTTTCAGATTTGGATCTTGTTATAAATCTTTGTTTGAAGTTCAGATATATAACTCATCTTAGATTTCATTAGGTTCTGCTACTTCTGAGTTGTGATGTGTTTAGAGGTTATAATTTCCTTTTTCTAAGTAGATTCAATTCAGTTTCTGATTTGATTAAGTCTGGAACTTAGTTGTTGTAATAAATCTGAGGTGAATTGGTTAATTGTCATCCTGGAAATTATCTAATTACATCATTAGAGTTGATTGCAGACCTACTGTTTGATGAATTGCCTAAGAGAAATAGAAATCTGATTTTAGGTTGCAAGGAAGGTGAAATCACAGATCCAAGGGAATTCACTTCTGATGTGAGGGGATGTACGGACCGGCTAGAATCAAGTAATGAACGGACGGTTGATCTAGGTAGGACCTTAAGAGAACCCGTCTCTTACAAACCTAGCCATGAAGACACCACAAGGTTGATCAATCCCTTGATACTGTCAAGTATTCTCACGAGAATACAAGGATGCAAGCAAAGCTCACACTGAAAGAAATAAACTTAATTCTCATTCATCTAAATCTTAATTTTAAGTACAAAAACGTAGCCTATATATAGGCAACCATAGAACACTCTAGAATCAGCATCTTAAGACATAAATGCTAGGGATGATGCCTCATTAATGATTATTTGACTATAGGAGGCATCATTTCTTACATAGAAATAAAAGGAAATAACTTAAACTTCAAGAACAAATCTGCTATTTGAAAATAAGAAACTAATTAAAACAAACAAAATCCTAATTAATGTCAATAATATCACTCTTGATGCTTCTTGAATCTTCTTGGACCTTCCAAATGGACCTTCATTGCTATTCACGTCCAAAAGCATAAATGGGCCTTTTAGACATCCATTTGGGCTTGAATGTGGTTGAATCACGTTCTGGAATTCCCATGGTCCATAGCATAATGCATTTGGGCCCCAATTTAAAAGATTATAGCTCTAATGGACTCCTCCATACATGATTGTGTTGGGCCTTCAACAACATGAAAACTGGCTTTAAATGCTCCTTTTGGGCTCTTAGAATGTGCTCTTATCTTTCTCAAGGTCCAAGTGTTCATACTCCAATGACTTATATGCCATGGCGGTTTTTGGGGTGGCCTTCCATATGTCACGTTAAGCTCCGTATGTATCTGTGTCATCATCCAAGGAATGATCCATGTCCTCCTCCATGTAAGCATTCTAGAGCTATAAATCCCTTGAACATTCTGGAGGGCTTGCTGGGCTTCTAACTGAGGGTGTGTTATTTGGGCTTCATGACCTTCATATTCAACGCCTCCTGGTATGCTATCAACTTCATTGATATCTCTTTCAAACTCTTTTCTGCATCTTATTCTTCTCTCATTCCTTTTGAAAATTAGTTTTCATAAATAACAATTCAAGATAGAAACCAATTCCAGAAGCTACCTCCTTCTCTGTTAGTTTAATTTGTAACTTCTAACTAGTTTAATTCCAGAAGACATTAAGGCTCCTTGAGACTGACCTCTAGTTGACTCATCTCCCACCTAATCTAGAGTATTAAATTTGACCTTTGAATGACAAGAGATCAGTTATTATGATGTAGGAAAGAAGTAGAATGGCTTGTTATGGCTATAATAGTGACTCAGAGGGTTCAATTAACCAGAGGAGACAAGGAGAACCTTTCCCTCAATGGTTCGATATTGTAGCGGACTTCTACTATGACACCTTACGGGCGAGTAACCCTCTACCTGACATAGCCATAGTTGCTTCTAATGACCCTCAGAGGATTGCGGTCATTGAAATATCTGATGATAATAGAGCTAGACCTACTAACGTCAAACTACTTCCAATCACCAAAGAATTCCACACCATAGAGGATTTAGCCAAGGACTTTAGGGAGAGAGACTAGTACATTAAGCTCAACGAGAACCAGCATGCCCATGTGTACCTAAGATATCTGGAGAATAAGCTCTACTATTATGTGACTAGAGAAGATGATACCCTGGAGGTTACGGACTAGGCATCAGTATTACTTAAAGTACTCCCTAGGACCTGGCTTTGGAAAAATGGTGTGAGAGACATTTGTAGTCACATGGATAGTGCTAGCTTCAATGATCTCATAGATGCTCTCGAAATCTTTGTGGGGAATACATTTTCTTGAGTCAGATATAGAGGACTGGATCCTGACGATGATAGACAAGCTCTCGTTCACACCCTTATGGCAGAATGAGTTCTATCGCCTGGATTAGATACAAGGATCCGATATTAAGGAGAGGATCCAGAGCCTTGAGGGCTTCGCTATTTCCCAGTTTGTGTAGCTAGTTGGGCCTTTGTAGCACTGATGTAGGACTTGTTTTAGTACAGCTAGCCATAGTAGGAGTAGACTGACGATGCTTGGTTGTTTTGTATGTTTCTAAAACATGTATGTCTTAAACTTTGTTGCTATTGATTGATATATGAATGCTGTGTGATGTATGCATATGTTTAAGTGAAATCCAATCATGTTGTTTATTTCTTGTTCCTTTGTTATGCTATCTATTTAGTTAATGTGATGGTTAGAACTCGAAGGAACTTTCACCAGAGAGACCCTCAAGACACAATGCAAGGGTCTCTCCCGATCCGCTACAGTTGATTTTGGATCACTTGGAACAGCAACAAAAGTTTATTTAAGAGACGAGGGTTGTCTAAGCTTGCCAGGAATAAGAAAAAGACGTCGTGATAGCTGTAGTAGTAGTTGCAGCAGTGGCTAAGCTTGACAGGAGGCATCCAGAAGAAGAAGTTTTTATAGCTCAAGCATCAGATCAGCTGCCCAGACCATCAACGCCGGCAGTAGACCCTAACAGCATCCAGCAGTGGATGACTCATTTCTACAAACACAATCCATCGTTGTTCTATGGAGTGTTCGACATCCAAGAGGCAAAGGACTTGGTGAGAACCCACAAGGGAAAAATCCCACGAACCCACAACCGATCTGAATATACGCACCCCAAGAACGTAAACAAAGGTCTGGTGATCTACTTGAACCCTTGAACACGGAAGAACAAGGACCCGAAGTGTTGAAAGACGCCACAAGATTGATCAAGCCTTGATAAGTCTGTTAGTTCAATGAAGAACCCTAGAGAGAACTCCTCTCAATCAGAAATTGCAAAATGCAAGTTTTCATTCAAAATTCCAAATCTCCTCCCAAAATGAGGGTTACAATATCTTATAGAGGATACATTCAAGATCTGACCTAAAAAGCATTAAATGCAATCTAGAAAATCAAAACATAATAAATTCATAAGGACTTGATTTAGGTAACTTGGAAATTCAAAAGTCAAATCTGCCAACTAATTATGAATTTTCGCACAAATGCATTTAATGAAATATAATCAGCATATCAAGCCCAAAATATGATTAATTAGGCCCAAATGAGTCTTCTCATGTGTTGTACTTGATCCAAGCTCCTTAAATTGAAGTCTCCAAGCCCAAGATATGATCAGTAGCTCCATTTTCAGCCCAAATGACATTAGTGACATCCTCAGCATTTTTATCCAGATTTGATACTCCAATAAATGCCATTTGCTTTGTCAAGGTGTCTTGCACTAGCCCACTCAAAGCTTCCTTAATTCTTTTAGCTCTTGCTCTTGTGATTGGTCCAGTTGGGATTTGCAATGGATCATTGGAAGTTGAGGAGTTAGCTTGCTGTATCGCATCATTCCCCCTCTCCTCAAAAGGATTCGACCTCGAATCATCACCTTCTTGACAATGCATCAGCCACCACATTTTCTTTACCTTTCTTGTATCTGATGACATACGGAAATGTCTCAATAAATTCCAGCCACCTTGCATGTCTCTTGTTCAGCTTACCTTGACCCTTAATGTGCTTCAAAGATTGATGATCAGTATGAATTACAAATTGTTTAGGCCAAAGGTAGTGTTGCCAATTCTCTAATGCTCTTTTAAGTGCATAGAGCTCCTTGTCATATGTTGGATACTTCAAGGCTGCTCCATTCAACTTTTCACTAAAATAAGCAATTGGCTTTCCTTCCTGCATCAAAACAGCTCCTATTCCAACTCCAGATGCATCACATTCAATCTCAAAAGTTTTGTTAAAGTTAGGCAATACTAATACAGGTGCAGAACACAATTTATCCTTAAGCCTAATGAATGCAACATCTTGTTCTTTATCCCATTTAAAACCAACAGACTTTTTAATAACTTCAGTGAGTGGTGCAGCAAGTGTGCTAAAATCTTTGACAAAGCGCCTATAAAAACTAGCCAAACCATGAAAGCTTCTCACCTCAGTTATGCTTTTAGGTGTTGGCCATTCTTTAATAGCTCTTATCTTTTCTTCATCAACTTCTATTCCTTTAGCACTCACCACAAAGCCAAGAAAAACAATTTTATCCATACAAAAATCACACTTCTTCATATTTGCAAACAATTTTTCCTTTCTCAAAACATCAAGCACACAATGCAAATGATTCAAATGCTCATCAAGATTCTTGCTGTAAATCAGAATGTCATCAAAATAAACCACAACAAATTTCCCAATGAAAGCACGCAAAACATGATTCATTAATCTCATGAAAGTACTAGGTGCATTAGTTAACCCAAATGGCATAACTAACCATTCATACAAACCATGTTTTGTTTTGAAAGCAGTTTTCCATTCATCCCCTTCCCTCATTCTAATTTGATGGTATCCAGATTTCAAATCAATCTTAGAAAAGACAATAGAACCATGCAATTCATCAAGCATATCATCTAATCTAGGAATGGGATGGCGATACTTTATAGTGATGTTATTCACAGCTCTGCAATCAATGCACATCCTCCAAGTTCCATCTTTCTTTGGGACCAAAAGTACCGGAACAGCACAAGGACTCAAGCTTTCTCTAACATATCCCCTTGCCATGAGCTCTTCCACTTGCCTTTGAAGTTCCTTTGTCTCTTCTGGATTGCTTCTATAGGCTGGCCTATTAGGAATTGTTGCTCCTGGAATGAAATCAATTTGATGCTCAATTCCTCTAATGGGTGGTAATCCAGGTGGAATCTCCTCTGGGAACACATCAACATATTCCTGCAATAAAGAACTAACAACACTTGGAAAGGAAGAGTTAATGTCATTAGTATCCAAAAAGGATTCCTTGTAAACAAGGAGAAGCAAATGTTGTTCAGCCAAAAAGGCATTCCTCACTTCACTTTCTTTTGCATAAAAACTCAATTTCTTTTTCTCTTTTCTCTCTTCATTTTTTTTCTGAAATTCTTTTTTTGAACTCTCATCTTTTCTCTCCTTTTCACTCCCATTTCTTTTTGATGTCTCTCTCACATTTTTCATATCACTCTCTTTTTTATCTCTCTCTTTTTTCATCTTAAGTTGATCCTCATACACTTGCTTTGGGGTCAATGGTACAAGAGTAATGGGTCTGTTGTTCATTACAAAAGAATATCTATTTGTAAGCCCATCTTTCTTTACCTTTCTATCAAATTCCCAAGGTCTTCCCAAAAGTATATGTCCAGCATGCATAGGAACAACATCACATAATACTTCATCACAATACTTCCCAATTGAAAAAGAAACAAGAACTTGCTTATCAACTTTAATCTCCCCACATTCATTCAGCCATTGCAGCTTGTATGGTCTAGGGTGTCTAACAGTGGGCAAATGTAATTTCTCAACCATTGTAGTGCTTGCAACATTTGTAACACTCCCACCATCAATTGTCAAACTACATACCTTGTTATTAATGAGGCAGCGAGTATGGAAAACATTTTCCCTTTGCTCATTCAACTCATCTTCCTTCACTTGACAATTCAAGGCTCTTCTAACCACAAGGCATTCTCCTTCCACAGCATACTCAATCCCATCATCACTAGCATCTTCAAGTAGGGGCATGGAGTCATCACTTTCACTCTCACTTTCAGTCACAACTTCATTATTTTTCAGAATCATAACTCTCTTGTTGGGGCATTGAGAAGCAATATGACCTGTACCCAAACACTTGAAACATTTTATATCCCTATTTCTAGAAGTTTGGGAATCAGATTTACCTTTGCTCTTTGATGAAGCTTCTTCTTTGCCTCTAGTGGTCTCCTTTTGGATAGCTTTTTCTCCTTTCTTCCAATTCTGTTTGAAAGAAGAAGTTGATCCAGAATGAAATTTTGAAGCACCTTTTCGCTTGAGTTGCTTTTCCACCTTAATAGCCATATGCACCATGTCTTCTAGTTCTACATAATGATGCAATTCAACTATATCAGCTATATCTTTGTTCAACCCACTTAGAAATCGGGCCATTGTTGCTTCTCTATCTTCTTGCACATTAGCTCTTATCATGGCCAATTCCATCTCCTTATTGTACTCCTCTACACTCCTAGGACCTTGTGTAAGGGTCTGCAACTTTTGATAAAGCTCTCTAAAATAATGGTTGGGAACAAATCTCTTCTTCATTAGAGCTTTCATTTCGCTCCAAGTTGTTACAGGCCTCTCTCCATTATTCCTCCTATTAATACCCAATTTATCCCACCAAACAATGGCATAATCAGTGAATTCTATTTCTGCCAACTTCACCTTTTTAGCTTCAGAATAATTATGACACTCAAAGATCATTTCTATTTTCTTTTCCCACTCTAAGTAGGCTTCAGGATCATTTCTACCTTGGAATGATGGAATCTTCATTTTGATGCTCCCAAGGTTCCCATCTACTCTATCTCTCTCCCTTGGGTTATTTCTCCCATATCTTCTCCCATACCTATCCCCTCTATGCCTATTCCTTATCAGTTCAACTTCAGATTCAGAATTGACTTCATCCTCACTACCACCAACTTTGTTATTTTCAGATTCAAAGTCATCCATAGAAACCTCCATTTGCCTTCCATGCCTTCTAGGTTTAGGTTGGGCTCTTTGCAGATTTACAATCCTTTCAT